ATTTCCAGGAATACCTTGATCCAGCAACTTACTGTCCTCTCCAGGGAGTGGACATAAAAGCATAGGAAGGAAGCAACTGTTGGGTGAAAAATCTGCTTTTTCCAGCCTGGGCATCCAGCAGCCCTGAGCATGGCCAGAGAAGGTTTGACCTTGTGCTGGAGGGAGGTCCGGAACCAAAGGAGAAGAAAGTTAGAACCTCATGGGCTTCTTTTTTCCCTAGGAGAGTTTAGCAGCTCTGTAGGATGTGGCTGATGAGCTGTGATGCTGTTCTCATCAAGAGGAGAGAGGTTTGCATGGAGCAGTGGGGCTGTGGGTGGCAGTGGGGGGTCTGTACTGCAAGGGCCTGAGCTTTTGTGCCTTTCTGGGTTGCTACAGCAAGTTGCCAAGGGGCAGTAGTCTGAATTTCAACCCCAGAATGATGCAACTGAACAGATATTTCTTCCTCTGCAGTTCCCCCTTTTCAGCCCTCTTAAGGGGTGTTTGAATATCAAATTTTAAAACCATTGCAAGCATCTTGTGATGTGACCTGTCCTCTTCATGGGCAAGGACGGAAGCCAGGCTTGGGTTCTTGATCAGACCTCAAAGCTTGAGTATGCTTTGGAAAAACTCTGCTTGGAAAACATCTGTTTTTTTCTGGGCTGGTACCTTTGTGCCAGTAGATGCACGTGCTGTTCCTGACCCTGCTGATGTTTATTTGCAGCATTTGAAGGAGCAGGTTCTACCATGCAGATGTGGTCATGAATTTCCCCTCCCTCTAGTTTCGTATAGATTATATGCTCTGGTTGCCTCCTTAGTGGGTGTTTTCTTCCCCAGAAGTGGTTGATTTTTAAGTGTACAGTTGGTGAAGGGAAAGTTATATGTGCAGACTGCTCCCATCAGCTGCAGGGCTCAGCACAGGGGTTTTCTTCATGCATGGAGTTAATGTAGTGATATCTCCCAGCGAGCGTGTAGGCACAGATTGCTCAGATAAGTTTCTTTTCAGTTTGCCTTTCTGATTCCGCCTTGCTTGGCTGGATTGAATGAGGACAGGGTGGCTATGAGAGAGCAGTGAGTTAAACCCTGGGGAGCTGATTCTCATCCTTTAAGGCCAAGGGCATGTTTTTGCCAGCCCTGTCAATCCTGCTCAGCTGCACCCCTTGTCCAGGTGTAGAACACCCCTGGAAGCAGGGCTGGGGCTTTGCTGGAAGGGAATGGGTTAGCTACTGGCTTTTGGGGGGCTAATTTTTGCTCTAGGTTTCAGTTTTTGGTCTAGGTTTCAATTTCTGCTCTAGGTTTCTGCTCCAAGTTTCTTTCTTTCACCTTAGATTTTAGGGCAGTTAAATGTGGTCTTCAGCATCCCCAGGGTGAAGTCTTTTCCCTGCTTTTAGAAGTGGGGGTGCGAGCACATTGGGGCTTGCAGAGCTTAGGGAAATTTTCAAATTTGTTTTGTAAAAAGTTCATACTTTGTTTCTGGCTGCCTGAAAGGACTCTAAAAACGCTGCCAGTGGGTCCTCTCCGGAAGCGGCGTGTAGGGTGTTATCTGTCCTTTCCACTCTGCTTCCTTTTCTTCCTCCTCCTGAAGAACAAAGATATAAACACAGAGCTGCAGAGATGCAGGAGAAAAAATGGAATAACCGACTGGCTGCCCAGGGGAAACCACAAATAACAGTCTGCGAGTAAACAGTGGTGACAGCCCCGTGGGACAGCTCATGGGGCTCAGACCTCCCTGCGGGGAACTCGCTTTTGTTTTATCAGCCTCCAGGTAGGACACACAGCACTAACACCACAGGAGTTAGAAGGATAGGGTTTGAGGAGGGAACAGTCCCATCTGCAGTTGTAGAGGTGTTTTCAGATGGAGGAAGGGCGATTACCTGCCCTCAAACAGCTAAAGTCTGTGGGCAGCTGGGCTTGAACTGGGTGGACATGTAACATCTTGCACTGGTGGGTCTGTGAGCCTCGAGCTGGGGATCCCAGCTCTCGTTTTTCCCAAGGAGCCCAGTGACAGGCACCCAAGGGCTGGGTGTGAGCGTGCCCAGAGCTCTGCTCTGTGGGATCATCTCCCCGTTTGATGTGAGTGCTGCTCTGCAGGGCAGCGTGGCTGGCTGCCCAAACCACCCCCCCATGTCACGGTGGGCTTCCCCCCCTCACTCAGTGCCTGCCTTTGTGTTCCCCTGACACTGCTCTTTCTTACAATGGGATTTTGCAAAGCCCTTGTAAATCGTTTGCATTCAGAACTGAAAAATGAGGCACGGGGAGGCGGATGCAATTAAAAGGGCAGCTCAGCTCGGCTCAGCTTTCCGTCTAGACAGCCTCCGAAAATAACCGGCAGTTGGAGCACCCACCTCGGAGCAGAAAGGACTCCTCTCTGGGCTGGATCCCACGGCCTTTGAAATCACAAAAGAGCTGGCTTCCTGGGCCAAACTGCAGGGCTTGGGGCTGGGCAGGCTTTGGCTCAGCCGGTGCGTGGAGCTGGACGTGGCTTTAGGGCTTGGGAAGGGGTGAAATGAAAGCTCAGCTTCCCAGACCTGGGGTAGGAGCCCTTTCTGAGAGGCTTAGGTGGAGAGGAACTTGATGAAGTTCACCAAGGGCAAGTGCTAAGAGTCGAGCACGTGGGGAGGAATAACCTCCTGTACCAGTATGGGTGAGGGGTTGGCCTGCTGGGAAGCAGCTCTGTGGAGAAATACCTGGGAGTGCTGGGGTAAGTTCAGCATGAGCCAGCAATGGGCCCTTGTGGCCAAGGAGGCCAGTGTTGTCCTTGGGTGCATTTAATGAAGCCAGCAGGTCGAGGGAGGTTCTCCTCCCCCTCTACTCTTCCCTGGTGAGGCCATAGCGGGAGTACTGTGGCCAGTGCTGGGCTCCCCAGTGCAAGAGAGACAAGGAGCTACTGGAGAGAGTCTTGCACTGTGGAGGCTACAAAGATGCTGGAGGGCTGGAGCATCTCTGTGCCCAGGAAAGGCTGAGAGCCCTGGGGCCATTTAGCCTGCAGAAGAGAAGACTCAGAGGGGGTCTGATCAATGCTCATCTGGGGCCAGACTCTTGTCAGTGGTGCCCAGTGACAGGACAAGGGGCAGTGGACACAAACTGGAACCCAGGTAGTTCCATCTAAAAAGAAGGAGAAAATTCTTTCCTTTGAGGGTGCCCAAGCCTGGAGCAGGCTGCCCAGAGAGGTTGTGGAGTCTCCTCCTCTGGAGAGATTCCAAACCCTGCTGGACACCATCCTGGGTGACCTGCTCTGGGTCCCCTTGCTTTAGGAGGATGAGATGATTTCCAGAGAGCACTTCTAAGCCCCACCATGCTGTGACTCTGTGACTGCAATTCAGGAGCTGGACCATCCTCCAACCATAATTCTTTGACCCCATCTGAACAATAATTTTTAATTATTGTTTTTTTTAGCAGCTCTTGAGCTGCCTCATCCCCTCTGTATCCCACTTGGTTGAAAATGGCCAGAGCTGAAGGATCAGGTGTGGTCGAGCCAGGGGAGTTTCCCTACCTGGTGAACTGAGATAGACAAAATATAGGGGACATTTTTGGCAAGGCCCATTAATGCTGCAGAGCAGTTGGGCATGGGAAGCATGGAAAGGAGGGGAAGGAAGAAGCTGTTTGCGATGGGCAGAGGCTGCTCTGGGTGGACTCAAGCTCCTGTGGTAAGTGGGGCCTGAATCTGCTCCACTGCACAAACACCCAAACAGAAGATGCAAAGACACGAGGCAGGATTGATGGTCCAAAATCCAGCAGCCCAGACGTGACTCAGTTGCACAGGATGTTCCTGCAGGGATGGGTTTGCTGGAAGGCGTGGATCTCTCTTGCTGGACCTCATTCCCCAGTTCCAATTCCTCTCCCACCTCTGTGGGGATTTGGTGGGGACCCTTGCTCACCTCTCTGGGAGCAGATCCTGCCCTTTACAGAGTGGTTTGTGCCTCACTTTACCCGTACCACATCTTGCCTGGATTTTGTGGTGAATTAGTTGATGATACATCTTTAAAGACCTCTCAAGGAAGGCTGCAAATACTCATTTTAATCTCAAATCTGGAAGGAAAGGCAAAGGCAGAGATGTTTGTGAGCACGGCTCCACCCCGGGGCTGAGGCACTGCCTCCTTCACGCGGCGGAGCAGCGTTTTCTTGTTTATTTATATATATTTCTATATTTTTCTTACGTGGGGAGTTACACACCCACGAGGCCTGGAAATAGCCAGGCGGTGACTCACGCAGGGGCTGGTTTAACTGGCCTGCTCTGGGAGGCAGCTGCGTTTGGCAGCTGGGGAAGGCTCTTCCCAAAATGTTGGACTACACAAGGGCAGAGGGTTTGTGTTGTTTTTTTCACTCACTGTGTATTTATTTTACCTCTGAGCTCAGTGTCTCACAGCTTGTTGCACATGGCTTTTGTGTTTCTCTAGCACAGCTGAGCTCCCAGGGCCTGGCATGAAGCTGGGGGAGAGGTTTTGCCTCGATTTCTGAGGGCTCTGTATTTGGGCTAATATCTCTGCTCATATTTTATTCTGAATGCTCCTCGAGAAAGTGGGTGGCCCCGAGATTTGTTTTACCCCAGCGCGCTGCTCCGTGCTCACTTTATCCTAAACCTCAGGCAGCATCAGGCCTGTGCTGAGGACCTCACCAGCTGGGGACAGGACAAGAGGAAACGGCCTCAAGTTGCCCCAGGGGAGGTTGAGGTTGAAGCTGAGGAACAATTTCTTCCCCTTGAGGTTTGTGGAGGGCTGTGCCAGGGTGCCCAGGGCAGTGGTGGAGTCCCCATCCCTGCAGGGGTTTCCAAGCTGTGGAGATGTGGTGCTGAGGGACACGGGTCAGTGGTGACCTGGCAGTGATGGGGAACATTTGGACTTAACCTGAAATGTCTTCAACCAGAAGGGTTCTATGATTCTATGTGGCCACATCCCCTCGCTGTTAAGAACTTAATGGCAACCAGGGGTGGTATGGTGTCACGGGGGATGCGACCATGGGCTGTGGTGGGGATTTGCTGTCTGTGGTGCCAGCACTGAGGTTTCCATCTGTCTTTCTGTCCCCAGAATGGCTGCAGTCTGTCCAAGCACTGATGATCCTCTCCATCATCTTCAGTGTCTTGTCCCTGTTCCTGTTCTTTTGCCAGCTGTTCACGCTCACCAAGGGCGGGAGGTTTTACATCACTGGATTCTTCCAAATCCTGGCTGGTAAGTGGGGGCTGATTGATGGGGCTGTCAAGCAGAGGAGAAGGCAGTGGTGGAAATGAGCATGCTCTTGGGTGCCAAAGCAGGAGGGCTGCTGAACTGTCTCCTTCAGAGCTCAGTGAAAGGAAACGGGGAGGAATAATTTGGGTCTGTTGAGGTCTCATCTTGCATGCCCAGGATGGGGTCCGGTTTCCAGGGCACGTCACACATCCAGGCTCTTCTGCCCTTGCATCATGGAAGGGGCAAGAGGGTTGTTGCCCCAGACAGGGGGAGTTTGGGAGGGGCAGGGTGCCAGACCCACCAAGCTGGTGGGGCAGGCAGGGCAGGGGGCTGCCAGACTGTGCCCACTCACCCCAAGGCTCGGGGTGGGGTGCTGAGGGTCGAAAGGTCCCATGCTGGCTCTGGGACCCACCTCGGCCGGGCTGGGCGAGGTTTCCACAACACTGGTGGGGTGGGAGAAGTGCTGAGGAGCCTCTTTTGGGGAAAGAGGATCTGATGATTATTTATAAACTTGCCATAAGGGGGCCTGGTGCTTTCCACACCAGCAGAGTCTGGAGCGTGCAGGATGAGCCAGCTGCCGGTGACCTCTTCAGCTACTATTCTTAACTCTTCAAGAGCTCAATGCTGGAAATGAACCAAGGTTCTTGTCCTACGTTGCTGTTCTCCAAATATAGATGCTGTAAAGCCACTGGCTACATTTACATTTCCACATATGAAAGCAGTGGAAAGGATTTTTCAAGTGTTCCTACTAGAAAAATTAGATTGTGCGGTGAGGTTCTGGCTAAATTATGACAAACTCTCTGGGAAGGAGACTAATCATTTGTTAGAGATCTATATGTTAAACTAAAAGCCACCCTAGGTCCTGCTATTAAATCAATAGATAAAACTCATCCCCTGAACTTAGTTTCTGAGCATCACCTCAGCAGCTGGCTCTCACAAACCCTGGAAAAGTTTGGAGCTAACCTTTGTTAGCAAGTGCAGCATAAACTCTGTTGTCAGTCTGTCTGCTTGGCCACAGTGCAGGTGATGAGTTCAGATGAGTTCAGCATCTCTGGGAAGATAGATGTGCAGAAACCCATTAAAGCCATGGAGACAAGGGGGGGAAATGGGCATTAATAACACAATTAGCTGCCTGAGAGCTTGTCTAATGCATCTCTGAGGAGCAGAAGGCTTCTCTCTTCTGAGTGACTGCTGGTGAATCCTCATTCTGAAAGGAAGAGAAAATGGGTCCATCTTGGGTGTCCTAATGGGATGCAGAGTCAGGCTACAGACCTGTGGTCTCTCTCTTTGTTGGGCTTGAGGCATGGGTCAAATCCATCCCCAGCCAGTATGAAGGACAGGAAAAGTGTGACCTGATCCCTAGGAAGCTTCTCCATGGCCTGCAGAACCAATAGGCGAGGGGGTTTGGGGCCAGATGGACCATGCAGAGGTGGGCATTGGTGGCCAACCTTGCTCTTCTCCCCAGCCAGGGCTGGAGGAGGAGGTTCAGGAGAGTGTAGTGATCCTAAATTTCAGGTTGTTGGTAGAAAGCAGGATGTGGCTGGGCCAGTGCTGCCAAGAGATCCCACCTGAAGGTATGGATGGCTCTAATTAAAAGAGCTGAACCTGATGTGTTCTCTTTGCAGCTTGCTGTGGAAGGCCATTGCTGTCTAAAGCCAATGGAGTAAATCCTATGGCCTTCAGGCTCTGCAGGTGTTCATCCATGCCTTGGAAAGCCCTGGCACCACAAAGCCCTGCTGCAGGTCTGCCAGGGACAGGGTCTTACCTGTCTGAATGCTTTGTTCTCAGCTGCAGCAGAGTTGGAGAGGACTTTCCTCCGTCTGGGAGGAGATGAAGAGGCTCTTTCTGAAGCCTCCATCACCCTGTACCTCCTCCTGGGGTGATGCAGCTTGGCAGATTTGCAGGTCTCCAGTTTTGGAGCCTGACCAACAGCAACACTGGACCTGTACCAGGTGCCAGCAGCAGGACCACTGGGTGCTGTTAGGTGGTAGATCCAAGAAGTGGTGCCCTGAGAGCCAAAGAGGGGGGCAGGGGCTGGTTTCCAATATGACTTTGGTTGTGGCTCAGGGGAACTGGGGAGTGGTGATAAGGGCAGGAGGTCAAGTGGGTCTGTTGTGCAGTGGCAGGGCAGGATGCATTCCCAGCACCTTCTCCACAGTGCTTGGAAACATGCCCCAAAGTCTAGTTGTTCTTGCCCTGCTGGGACAACAGCCATCACAAAGTCACCACATGGCCATTGACAGGTCTGCTCCCATCCCTGGTGGGGTCCATCACATCCATGGGTAACTTCTCATAGCTGTGTAAGCCCAGCATGGGAGAGACATTGGTTTGGGCCTCTAAGGGTTTGACCCAACTTTTCCATTGCACTTCCCAGCCTCAGCATCACTTCTATCCCTTTTCTTTCATCCCTCCCTCGAGCTGCCCTCCATGAGGGGTGGAGAGGGCTGTGCCTTCCACATAATCCTGCAGCTTTTTGCAAAGCCCTGCATTTGGGATGAAGGTCGGACTTGATGATCCTCAAGGTCCTTTCCAACCATAGTGATTCTATGATTGGAGAGCTGACCATGAGCATGCACCACCACCCAGCCCAGCTTGTCTTGCCGGGCTGGAATGCACAGATCTGTAGGACCAGATTTTAGGCAGCATTTGCCCTCCCAGCCTTTCAAAGGAAGACTAGAGCACGGTCCTAAGCTCAGGCCCTAAAGTGGTGATGCTGGCTTGGTTGCATTGGTGCAAGTGGCCACGTGCAGCCGGCCCTCACTTCCCGAGCACGTTCTGCAGGCCAAACCCAGCGCAGATGATGCAGAAGCTGAACCCATCACTTCCACTCTGCCAAATTCCTCTCGGGGACAATGGTGGCTGTGTTCTCTGCTGCCTGGAGGTGAGCGGCGTGGCACACGCCCGTCCCCTGGCCCACCAGTGTGGGCAGACAATGGTTGTGCTCTCCCTGCAGGGGCCGGGGCAGTGGGAGGTGGGTCTTGTGCTCCGGGAGTGGAAACGGCACCAGCAGTGAGCGAAACGTGTTCCCACTTCTGCACTTTCCCCGAACAAAGGCGCAGTGTCAAGTGGAACTGCAGCTCAAAGATCACCGTGGTTAGATGTAGGTGGTCCCGAGGTCCAGGCAGGGGATTTGGAACTCGGCTCCGACAACAGCCCCACGAGTGTATAATGGAGCTGCTGGGATGGACTGAAAGCTCTTGTTTCGGGGTGGGAATAGAGGTGGCTTTGTGTTAGCTCTGGGCAGTCCCCGCTGCTGACGGGTGGGTTTTGCAACAAAGCTGAAATGCTGCCTACCAGAGCTGAGCTTGGCTGGGCAGCCCTCGGGGACCAGCACTGCCTGTGCCTGGCAAGGGTGGCCACCACACCATGGGGCACAGGTCCACCTGGCCAGAGCATCCTTGGCTCTGTCACCCGGGCGGGTGATAAAGAAATGTTCTTGCTTTTAAAGCAGTGAGGTTTGTGTCTGACCTGCTGCAGCATCTCTGGGAGGGTTGTTCAGGCTACAGTCTGGGTTCTAAATAAACTACCCAAGGGAGTGGGGTGGTCTGGTGCAGCAGCCTGGAGCTGGGGGTTGCCCAGTGCTGTGCTGGGGGATGCATTAGCCCATGTGATGCTTTTCTTGGTCTAGGGGCTGCTACTTTTACTTGCTGGTCCTGGCAGAGATATCGCCACTTACCTGCAGCCAGGGCAGAGCCCACAGCATCACACCCCCCAGATCATACCAAGACGTTGAGGGGCTGGAGCAGGTCCAGAGTAGGACAGCGAGGCTGGTGAAGGATCTGGGGAACATGGCTTCTGAGGAGTGGCTGAAGGAACTGGAACTGTTCAGTCTGGAGAAGAGAAGGCTGAGGGGAGACCTTACAGCTCTCTGCAACTCCCTGACAGGAGATTGGAATGAGGTGGGGGTTGGTTTCTTCTCCTAAGTAACCAACAATAGGATGAGAGGAAATGTGCTGAAGTTGTGCCAGAGGAGGTCTGGGGAAGAATTTCTTTCCTGAACAGTGTGGTGAAGTGTTGGCCCAGGCTGCCCAGGGAGGTGGTGGAGTCACCATCCCTGGAGGGGGTCAAAAAACGTGTAGATGTGGCACTTGGGGACATGGTTTAGTAGTCATAGTAGTGTTGGATTGATGGTTGGACTTGATGAGATTTTTCCAATCTTACTGATTCTATGATTCTACAGTTTTCCAGGAGATGGGATACAAGGGAAAGGGACCTGAGGGTGTTGGTTGATAGCTCGCCCAACATGAGCCAGCGGTGTGCCCAGGTGGCCATGAAGGCCAATGGCATCCTGGCTTGGATCAGAAATAGTGTGAGCAGCAGGAGCAGGAAGGTGATTGTGCCCCTGGACTTGGCACTGGGGAGACCTCACCTTGATTCCAGTGTCCAGTTTTGGGCACCACAGGATAAGAATGACACTGAGGTGCTGGAGTGGGTCCAGAGAAGGGCAATGAGGCTGGTGAGAGGGCTGGAAAACATGCCTTAGGAAGCCTGGCTGAGGGAACTGGGGTTGTTTAGTCTGGAGAAGAGGAGACTGAGAGGTGACCTTATTGCTAAAACAATACTTAAAAGGAGGTTGTAGTGAGGTGGGTGTTGGTCTCTTCTCCCAAATGACTGATGATAGGATGCGAGGAAATGACCTCAAGTTGCACCAGGGGAGGTTTCAGTTGGATATTAGGAAGAATGTCTTCATTGAGAGAGTGGTTCGGTGCTGGAAGGGGCTGCCCAGGGAGATGATGGAGTCACCATCCCTGGAGGGGTTCCAACAACGAGTAGATGCAGCACTTGAGGCTATGGTCTAATGGTTAGGGAGAGGTTGGGATGAAGGTTGAACTCGACGACCCTAGATGTCCTTTCCAACCACAGCGATCCCGCGAGTCTAAGGGAGCAATACCAAAACCAGCTTCCCACGCTGGCCTTGGGTGTCCTCCTCTCCAGCTCCGGCCTTCCAGCGCGGCACCGCTGACTCCCCCCGTGCTTGTGCTTCCTCGGCAGGGCTCTGTGTGATGAGCGGCGCGGCCATCTTCACAGTGAGGCACACGGACTGGCACCAAGCCTCGGAAAACACCTCCTACGGCTTCGCCTATATCCTGGCCTGGCTGGCCTTCCCCCTCGCCCTCGCCAGCGGCATCGTCTACGTCATCCTTCGGAAGCGCGAGTGACGCCACGGGGCCTGACCGGGGCGCTCCCGAGGTCCACGGAGGAGATGGAGGCTGGGGAAAATAGACGAGAAAACGGAAAAGAAAATTAACCAAAAAAAAAAACAGAAAAAAGAGAGGAAAAAAAAAAAAATAAAAAACCAGGAATAAACCCTCCCAACCAAACCCAAACCCAACCGACCCCAAAAGGAAACGCTCTAAGGGTTACTTGTTAATTGAAGATGTATATAGTATCTATGGTTTAAAAAAACCTATTTATAACACTTTTTACATATATGTACATAGTATTGTTTGCTTTTGTTGACCCTATGCTACGTTTTAAAGCCTAAAGCAAGTGCCTAAGGAACTATTACTCCTAACAGTGTAACAAGAGCGCGGTGATTTTTCTCTCATGCGAGACTCTCTTTGACGTGAACTCTCCTTCCCCCTCCCAGCCCTTCCCGAACTGTCAGAAAAGCCCAGCTCTGAGCAGTTTTAGGCTGGCGTAAAGCTGGGGTTACACCCGTTTACGCCAGCTGGAGGGTTGGTCCCCACTCCTGCCACATGCTGTGATCCCGGGAACTGAAGCGCGCGGGAGACACTTCCGAAAGGTTGGAAGGATTTCGGAGCGGAGGCTTTGATTGCCCCAAGTGCCTAACTGACTTACGTGCCTAAGTCCCCTCGCCTTGCCACCACACCCGCTGGGAATTTGGGCTTTTAAATCACTTAGGTTGAGTCGCAATCCGTCATGGGTCACGGGGGGTGCCCACGGTGCCCGTGCCGGGGGGGCCGGGGCGTGTGCCGAGCCGAGCTCCCGCCCGTGGAGCGTGCTTTGCCCTTGCCGTGGAGCTGAGCTGCCGCCCAGAAAGAAGCCAAGCCCGGATAGCTCCGAGAGCAAACGCCAGACATATGACATGGTGCTATCTATTTACCATTCCTTATATTGCTAGCCATTTAACCCTATTCACTGGAAATTCAGTTAACGACCTTGAGGTAAACGGCAACGCTAGAAACGAGAAATAATTCTGTGTAATATAAACGAGCTATAACTGCTTTTGTACTTAGACTTGCTCTTACTATTATTTTCAATAAAGCATTTATAACTGAGGTTCCTTCCCCCCCCCCGTACCGCCCTGCAGTCAAGAGGAACAGAAACAGCTCCGGGCGGAGCCCTGTTGGTCTTCGCTGCTGGAGGGAGGTGTCTGTCCTCTGTCCTTCTGTCTGTCCATCCTCTGTCTGTCCATCCTCTGTCTGCCTGGCAGCAATGTGTCTGGCCATGAATTGAACGGGCACCTGCACAGACCCCAGGCTGCCTCCTGAGGACTCCAGACACTGCATTGCTGTTGTCGTTTTTGTTTCATTTTGGGGTGGGTTTTTGTTTTTGTTTTTTTGCTTTGCTTTTCTGATTTTATACCGACTGTGTGGACTAAGAAGCAATGAAATAAAAGTCAGAATAACTCAGTTGCTTCTGCTTTTTGGCATTTTTGTGGGTTAGAGCTGGGCTGTGCTCTACCAGTCTCTTGCATGGCTGTCCCATGGAAGGTCTCCGTGATGGGGGTGTTCAGCCTGGAGAGAAGAAGGCTCTGGGGAGACCTTCTGGTGGCCTTCCAGGACTTCAAGGGACCTGTCAGAAAGCTAAAGATACTTTTGAGCAAGACCTGTTGCAACAGGACAAGGGAGGATGGTTCAAAATGAAAAGAGGAAGATTTAGACTAGAGAGAAAGAAGAAATGTTTGACACTGAGTGTGGTGGGCCAGGTTGCCCAGAGAGGTGGTCACTGCCCCATCCCTGGAACTATTCCAGGTGAGGTTGGCTGGGGCTCTGAGCAACCTGCTCTGGTTGCAGATGTCCCTGCTCCCTGGAGGGGTATTGGACTGGATGAGCTTTGAAGGTCCCTTCCCACCCAAACCAGTCTGTAGCAGCTTGGTGGGCTAATTCACACCACTGAGGGAGGCTTGGAGGCTGCTGGGCTGTCTGTGGGGCAGATGTACCTGTGCCCGAGGGGTAACCTCACACCAGACCCAGTACCATGTCCAGGAACTGAGCTCAGGACCCTGTGCCCTAGTGCTGCTGCACGGGCACCTTCCTGCCTCTGCCCTAAGATGCTCCTTCAGGCAAGCTAAGTTGGATTAATCTGGATGTGACCTCCAACTTTCGTCCCCAGTGCCAGCAGCCAGGCAGCAGCTGGCAGGAGCAGGCTTACCCCCGCCCAGGCTCCGGGCAGGGAGGGGTCAGCTCAGCAGTGGGTGCCCCGGCGGGGGCCCGCCG